CAGCAGGGTTTGGTTATTGTTTTGTGTAAATAGTACTGTACGGAGGCAAAGTGAAAGTTGCAAAATTCACCTGCAAAAACACATTGTCCTTTATAGTGTCTCCCAAGTATCATATGTGGTCTTTCAGAATATAGAGAGTAAACTAAAGTTTCTAACTAAAGTAGTTGTAATATTCTTACTCTTCTTTTGTCTGCAGGACTGCCTCTCCCATCAGTTTAATGAAGTTCTCTCTGGATGGAGAATTTTTTGCCACTGCTGGACAAGTAAGTCCCTTTGATTGTGACAGGCACTGCATGACATCACATTTGTCCATAATTCTCTCCAAACCTGGTCCTGTTGCATACTGTATGTTGATGAGGAAAATGCTCCATCCAGTGGTTTGATACATTTAGTGTACAGAAACCGTAACATATAAACCTTAAACTGTAATTATTCGTCTGCACCAATTCTTAAGCAGTGTTGGCAGCGATCATCAAGTAGCAGTGGGCTTCTGCTGCTGCTGTTTAATGTACATAAGGGAAACCCTGTTCTTTCACTGAAGCACTGTCAGTTTAACACTTATACACATAATTAATGGCTAGCATCTGGAAGCACCTGTGTGCTGTTCTATCAGTTGCTAGAGCTAAAAGGGTAAAATCTTCTTTAGCCATGAGGATTTATTTTTGACAATGCACTTTTCTGGGTTTTAAACATGCAAATCTAAAGCAAAAAAACCCCACTCTAACAGCTTTTTTCACACACTTGCCAAATGAATCCATTTCTAATCGTTTATGTCGTTGTATACAGGATGACTGTTTAGTAAAGGTTTGGTACAGCCCCAGTAAGTGGAAGTTCAGTATACCCAGGGTCTTCACTCCTCAAGATCCCAACCCCAGTGTCCAGGGAAAGCTGTCCTTCTCTTTTGTTTATCTGGCACATCCTCGTTCTGTGACCGGCTTCTCTTGGAGGAAGACCAGCATGTACATGCCACGGTACTGAAACTCATAATATCATTTTAAATATAACATTTTCTTTTAGGTTTAATCTGTCAAAAATAGCCAGAGAGTAAACATAATGTCATTTTTCAATTTCTTTGGCATTTTTTTGTCCTCTTTCCTAACAGTGGTGCAGTGTGTAATGTCCTGCTCACATGCTGTAAAGACAGCGTGTGTCGACTCTGGTCGGAGACATTGTTGCCAGGTGACACTTTAGTTTCTAAAGCCCACAACAACAGAGCATCTGGACAACACAGTGCTGGTCCTGGCAAAAAACACACCTGCAATGGGAGGATGTCTGGCTTTGCACTGCAGGATGTAAGTACCTTTTTTTTTACTGTCTACACAAAACTACATATGTCATCACATCATTATTTGTCATAATCTGTTGGATACAATTATAAATGAGAAATGTCCAACAATTAGGTGTTAAAGCTTGTTTTAAGAGTAAATTTTTTTTATTTTAATTATATAATTAATGTAAGATAACTACAACTATATAACTTGCGATACATAGTCCACGCAGCACAAATCTATTAGTGCTTGTAAAGCAAATGACCATAACTAGTTTTGAAGATGTCTGTATCAGAGACATTTTCAAAGGTTTTACACTGTGGGTACATCATCAACCCCTTGCAAAAGACTTTTATGAGCAACTCTCCTCAGACGTGCTGCAATCATTAAACTGCTCTGAAAAACTTTGCTTTTTAACCTAAACACTCCGGAGGCCCATTAAATGCCAAACTGTCATATTGCAGGTATTGCCACTGGCTGTGTTCTTTTCAGCTTTTCTCTTTTTTATATTACCAAGCCAATGACAAGATTAAAAACAGTGATTGGTAGTGGTAAATTGTTGGTAAACAAGTTGGTATTTACAGTCACAGTGAGAGAAGGATGATAACTGATGTCCAGTCAGTTAGGAATGGCAATTTATAGTCATTCTTTGTTTGAATTCTTGTTCCAGATGTCACTGAAAGAATTGTTGATGTACAAAGTTTTAGTAAAGACTGTACCTTGACTCTTGTACTTCCTGCATAATTTAACTCTCAAGGTTATATTGTTTTAACTGCGTGTGTATGAAAGTGTGCAAAGAGACAAAATAGTTTAAAACCAAGTCGGGGGGGAAACACTGAAGGCCAAATCTGTATTAACTTAATATAAATTTGCAGTAACCAGGTAAGCTAAATAAAAGGGCTTCCATTTAAAAAGAAATTCATAAATAGACAGCTTCTGTGGTGGCAATCATTTGTAACAATTATTTTCTGGCAGTTTTATTTTTTGTCATTTTCTTGCTACATGTTTGTCTCTGAATCGTAACCATCTTTTCAGAAGCACAGTTTTGTATAGCAAAAATGCTATTTCTGCCCTAAGGAAATGATGTGTCACAAGTATCCCCGAATGAGTCAGTTCAGTGTTTTCATCGCTTCTGAATGTTGTTAGGGAACTGCAAAGATGAAAGAAAAAGAACATGAAGAAGAAGATGGGAGTAAAATTGAGGCATAGTAAAGTTAAAAGGGAGAATTAATTGCCCATCAGCCTTAATGATGCTTTTGAAGCCGTCTATAAGGCTTTAGATAAAAAACAGTGAATAACGTTGGCCTCCCTTCAGCAGTCTTTACACCACCATAAATTGTATCTATCATTTTGATGGGGGGGGGGAGTTGTCTGGTTACACTAAGAAGCTACTAGCTCACATGTATTATAGTGAAGTGGATGTAGTTTATAGCGGACTGTTTGAATGTGGTATAGCATTAAGACAACACTTCAGTTTTTTACTTCTGCATTTCAAAGTACATTTCTGTCCTATCTTTGAGACAGACTTAACCAAACTAAATAAGTTCATGGGAAATATTACATGTACATGTCTATATTTAGCTGTAAGGCTGGGGGTTGAATACTTTGGCAGCTTTTCATTAGACTGCAGAGATTAGCCAGTGACCAGTCAGTGTAATTGAACACACATCTTGCAACGTTTTGTCTTTGACCGATTGAAGATTCTACCGTCTCAACGCCTTCGAGTCCAACACTCTAATCTAACTGTGGAAGTCACATCACTGAGCATTAAACCGATCAACCATAGTAGGAAAAATAACTGTTCTAAAGCTTAATTCTAAACGTGACGCTGTCATTCTGACAAAATGATTAGTATGGGCTGTCCATGCGTCGGTGCATCCTCAGCCATCGTCACATCGTTTATCTCTGAAATGACTGACTTCCACACCCTTGGTCTTCGTCTGCCAACACCTTTCTCTGCAGCCTCTGGCACATTTAAAATCCATCTCCACTCCTTTCATTAGCCTTTCTCATTGCCGGGAGAACCCATCAGCTACCGGGCCTGACAACCTCACCCTGTCTATTAAGTCACACATACATGCTATAATTGGAGTTGGACAGATGTGGGTCTCCTGTATAACCTTTTTGCAGCTTTAATAAACATGTGCATTGTCAATGCAGAAAAAAAGTTCACCAATGCGATGCCGCCACTTATGACGTATTCCACCAGTCGATACTTTGTAGATGAGACATTCGTACATATGAGCTTCATATGTACTGATATTGTTAAATGGTCCAGCATGATGTATTTCATTCTCAGTATGCTGCCGTTACCATGCTTGGAGAAAATCCGTTTGGCATTGACATATAGTAATATAATGGACAATATAAGCAATGCCTCCTATATTTCCTGTAAACTCTATTGTATTTTGCTGCACGGCCTGACATTTCAGAACAGCACCATTCAGCACCAAGAATGGTGTTTAACAATCTAGGGATGGCAGTTTTTCTTGAGCTGTCTGCGCATAGTAATCCAGTTCAAATGCTCTGAGGAGTATAATTAACTGCTATTATTATTATTATTAACAATCTATTTTGTGTCCTAGACTGGATGCTGTTTAATAGTACAGTCAGTCGAACCTCTGCTCTCTGCAGGATTGGCAGCAGACCACCGATGCTACATGCCAGGCTCATTATTTCGAGTGGTTCTTCGCTCTCTGTCGGATTTCTCATTTTTATTGCTGTTTACTATGAAAATGCTGCCAAAGTGGGGGCAGCTTTAAATGCTGTGTTTATGGTTTTGTGGTAATTATGTTTAACTAATTACTTTCATTACATTAGAAAAAAAAACTCTATGTAGATATTGTGAATAACGTTTTGCCATACCCTGTTTCCCCAGTTGAATTTCCAGGAAGCATTGCCGTCGTCTTATCGCAGTGGGCCCAGACCTTCCATGAGTGGTTGGCTGCCTCAGCATCAAAGTCGACACTATAAGCACAGGAAGAGTAGCAGCAATCTTCCCCATGCCATTGGTCTCTGTCACTTTCACATTGCCGCCAGCATCAACCCAGTCACAGGTAGTTGATTGACATCATTGAAATATCTTATTTGTTTGTTATATATCTTTTCTATAACAGTATATAAATCTGCAGAGTGCAAGCATTCATGGCTTTTAACTTATTTCATTACACCTGACAAACGTTCCGTATGTTGTACTTGGCTAATGACCTTCTGGAAATCTCGCTGAAAATTGAAAACAGTAAATAGAAGGCAATTTAAATCCTGTTTTTCTCCCTCCTCGTTGCATAGCTTAAGTTGACCTTAACTGAGACAGAAAATCCCCCAGCTTTGATGTCTTTTCTGCTCCTGTTTGTATGTTTGACTCATGATTTACCACTTTTCACTTATAAGCATGAAAGTACTTTTACTACTGCAGTTTCAGGTTTGTCTGTCTTCAGTACAAGATGTAATGTAATTCTCTGCTATCCCCGTCAAGTCAAAGGCAATCATCTTTTTTCTTTTTCTTTTTTTTTTTGTGCTCTTCTGACAGACATTCCTCTGCTGCCCTCAATCTCATCTCTGAGTACGGCAGACGACGAGGAACCTGGAGGTCCTTTTACTGTTCACTGGCTCAATAACAAAGAACTGCATTTCACTTTAGCCATGGACGTGTTTCTGCAGCAGCTCCGAAGAAGCCTGGAACAGCAGATGGAATGCAGCCATGAAGGTAGGGGGAAAAAAAATGTATGTATGTGTATA